TTTTCCCAACGTTTTATTATAAGGGACACCCAAGTTGCTTCCAGTTTGGGGCTATTATGAATAAGGCTGATAAGAGTATTCTTATAAAACTCTCTTTATAAACATAAGTTTTCTTACCACTTGAAGAACAAACCTAAGAGAATAGATAGGCCATGTGTAGGTGTCAAAGGCAGAAACTACCAGGGCTTCCTCCTAAGTGGTTTGTATGAGAGTTTTGGATGCTTTACCTGGTATCAATATTGAATCTTAACTATTCTTTTTTTTTCCATTGGAGTCTCACTCTGTCACGCAGGCTGGAGTGCAGAGGCATGCTCATGGCCACCCCAGCATCAGCCAGCAGGGCTCCAATGATCCTTCTGCCTCAGTCTTCCAAGTAGCCAGAACTACAGGTGCACACTACCACACCCAGCTAATTTTTTTATTTATTGTAGAGACAAGGTCTTACCAAGTTGCTCGGGCTGGTCTCAAACCCACGGACTAGGGCAATCCACTCGCCTCAGCCTCCCAAAGTGCTGGAATTACAGACTGAGCCACTGAACCCAGTCGAATTTTAGCTATTCTAACAGATGGGTTCTGTTGAATTAACTTATAAATGCTTTTCATTTTTATAATTTTTTTTTTACTGTTATTCTCCCTGATATGGTTTATTACAGTGAAAAGATATACAGTCAGTAAAGGTAAATGTTGTATAGGAGATACACAGCCTAGAATTTCCATTGTCTTTTTCCAGTGGAGTCAGAGACAGTCTTAATTCTCCCAAACACAACATGTGGCACATGTACAGATTATTGCCAATAAAGGAATCACATCCAAGCCTCCAAGTCCAGGGATTATTACGGTGTTTTAAAAACTACTAAACTTGGTAACCCCCTTGGGACCCCTTCCACAGTAGGAACTCTTCTGTCCTCTTAATAAATCCTGCTTTCTAAAAAAAAAACAAAACAAAAAAACCCTACTAAACTATAAATGCACAGACCTTATTTTCCTAAGCAAAAATGTGTTTGTAAAAAGGAATTACGGCCAGGTACAGTGGTTCATGCCTATAATCCCAGCACTTTGGTAGGCCAAGGTGGGAGGATCGCTTATGCCTAGGAGTTCAAGACCAGCCTGGGAAAAATAATAAGGCCTCATCTCTACAGGAAAATAAAAAAATTAGCAAGGTAGTAATCCCAGCTACTCAGAAGGCTGAGGCAGAAGGATCACCTGAATCCAGGAGGTCGAGGCTGTGGTGAGCTGTTATTGTGCCCCTGCACTCCAATCTGGGCAACAGAGTTAGACTCCAACTCAAAATAAATAAATAAATAAAAATAATTAAAACTATATTAAAATAAACCAATATGTAATTCTCTTCATATCATTTTTTAGAAACCATTTCTGCTGTAATGCAACACATACATTCCTGGAAAACTGTATAGATTTAAAAACTGTGGACTTAAAAAGAATAAAGTATATGAGAAAAACAGGGTTGGAACAACCACTTAAAACCTATATAGCTTTGTATTAGAGGACAAACAAAACAATAGCAAAAATAATGATATCAGCACAATTAAATCTGAACAGGCATGTCCACTAAGAGTCACTGTCAGATGATACCTTTCAGCCTTAAATCCTCAGTCCCTCTTTTCCACCTTCAGTAATAGAGCATACAACTTCCAAGACAGATCATTTTTATCAAAACTAAATACTGGATTCAGGGGAAAACTAATTCTGTCATTCAATTATTCACACAAGAATGTGGGGGAATGTCTTCACAGCTTCTTTATTCATGTCCATAGCTTCATCATCACAGCCTACAAAAAGTGAAGCAGCTCACAGATCCTCTAAGTCAGCTACTTCTTCCACTAGAGGAAGGCACTGCAGGATTTCCAGCCTCTTTCTTAAAATTCTCAGACTTTCTCTTTAGTCATGACCACTTCTTTGTTCAGTCCAGAACATCAATATTCCAGGAAAACTGCATATGAACCAGCAATGCAATTTCTATTTTGCACTGGCATCGTTCTCTGATGATGCATAAGCCATCTCACACTATGGAAACTCACCCTGCAGGAAAACACACTGTATAGGAAAAGCCCATTTTCAAAAAGAAACCCAAAACTCATTGAATTTAACTCTTGCTGCATCAAACTTTGCCCAAATGACCTCACTTTTTGGTCACTAAGTCAGTATTTTCTATCTCTTCTGAGGCTTCTTTTTCTTTTTTAATCATTTTCATGGACCTAGGAAAACCAAGTTTCCTCTAGACTGAGAGGTGTTTTCCAAAGATGACTTACATCAAAATGCAGACTAATGTTTACAAGACTCTAAAGCAACTGAAAAGCAACAATCAGGTTGTGAGTTCAAAGGCCTCAAGGCCTCACAGTCATGTGTGTCATAAGGTAAAAAATCTGCAGAATAATAGCATTCTTAGAATTAACTATAATTTTTAAAAATCTCTTCAACATTTTAAACTGTTATTCTAACAACAGATTCTCATCAGAATACTCACATTACAATTAAATCGAAGATTACTGTAGGTTTAGTACCCCCACATAACTGCCATCCATTGGTCACTGTTCAGTGATACTTCATTGCATAAATTCCCTTCCTCACTCTGACATGATTTTACTTAAGAGTAGCATCATAGAAGTTTATTAATTTTTAGCCTGACCTCCAGGAAGCATCTTGTATAAGAAGCTACATACATATCATACACAAGATTACCCAAGAGCATTGTGTGGGTCACCATGGGAGGTGATGGCATCACTAAATGAAAAACACAGGAGAGCTGTTAGCAGTGTCTTCATCACACTCATCCTCACTTATTCTAAAGGGCATTTTAATACTTGCAGGACATTCTTGTACCAGGATATGTTTGGACAGTCTCATGTCATTTGAAAATGCATATTCAGGGCAAAAATGCAAACTAGGTTCTCTTAGAATAAAATGAAGCAAGGAGATTTTTTAAGATGTTAAAAACTGATACTGATTGCCATTTGTACTGAGGGAAAAAAAATAGTGTATAAAGGCAAATTTGCACAAAACCAATCAGCCAAAGTGTACACAAATATGGGAACAATACCTCATAAGTTACTAAAAATAATTATCCATTATCATCAGTACCACTTTCAGTGCTAAAGCTGAATAACTTCTAAACAAACTGTGAAATATTTAAAAGCCTGAGTTCATATAAACAAATCTTAACTTTAATGCAAAAAGTGGTGTGTGTGTGTTTTCTGGTTCTATTGTGAATCAAAGTATCATAGATCAGAAGAACCCACTTTACAATGTCCTTTCAGTTCTCAAAGCTTTGGATTTGTTCCTTTTATATTTTAACTTTACTTTTAAATGATTTCAGACTTACAGAAAGGTTGTAGGGTTGTAGGATTACCAACAAATTCCCATTTTCTCTTAACTCAGATTCCGTAACACTGCAGAAAGGATGATCTTTTACCTTTAAACACTTCAGACTAAATTTCTTAAAAACCAGGACATTCTCTTACATAATTACATACAAATATCAACATCAGGAAATTAATATTCAGACAGAGTATTATCTAGTCTATAAACTTTATTCAGATTTTTCCAGCTGTCCCAATAATATCATTTATAACAAAAGAAAATCCCAGAACATGAGTTGCATTCAGTTTTCATGTCTCTTTAGACTCTTTTATTTTTTACTTTTGAGTTGGAGTCTCACTCTGTCACCCAGGCACACTCATGGACTCCTCAGCGTCAAACTACTAGGCTCTAGCGATCCTTCCACCTCAGCCTTCCAAGTAGCCACAACTACAGGTGCACGCTACCACGCCCAGCTAATTTATTTTATTTTATTTTATTATAGAGATGAGGTCTCAGCAAGTTGCTGGGCTGGTCTCGAACCCATGGGCTCAGGCAATCCACTCGCCTCGGTCTCCCAAAATGCTGGGATTACAGGCTGAGCCACAGAGCCCAGCCTTAGACTCTTTCAATCTGGAACATTTCCTCAGTCTTTTTTTAGATCTTTCATGACACTCCTGAAGAGTAAAAACCTGTTATGCTGTAGAAATTCCTTCATTTGGGTTTTTCTGATGTTTCCTCAAAATTAGTGTCAGGTTGTGCTTTTTTTTTTTATAGGAGCACCAGAGAAGTGACATTGTGTACTTCTCAATGCATCCTGTCAGGAGATATAAGATATCAGTTTATCCCTTTAGTGGTGACGGTGACTTTGATCACTTGGTAAAGTGATATCTGATATGCTTCTCCATTGTAAAATTACTGTGTTCCTTTTGTAATTAATAAGTATCTTATGGGGAGATACCTTTAGATTATGTCAATATCCTGTTACTATTAATTTCAACAAATATTTATTTCTCACTTTCCAGAACTTTCCAAGTAAGTTTATCATTAAGCTTCCTGTATTTAACCTCTACTTTTGCAAACCAATGCACTATAGAAAGTGGCTACACTGGTCAGGGTCCTTTGAGGCATAGTTCAGATCTCGGGAATATGATCATACCAGCCTCTAGGTCAAGACCACAAAAGGAAATAAAATCCATCTTTTTTTAAATATGAAAATGGCAGTGTACTTTTGAGGGATTTTATGCAGCAGTTGAGGGATATACAGCATTTCTTGTCTCTAGTGCTAAGGAAACAATGAGCCAATACTGTTATAAACAATGAGCCAATATTGTTATAAGCTTATATCAAATTCTTGTATTTCACAGTTTAAAGAACTCATTTGGAAAAGTAATATCAATTCAGTAGCAATAAAGTACATCGTTATTCTTAAACATTTTTCTTTAAAATATGTCAAATGTTATATTTTTTCCCCCAGAAAAGACTCCCCTCTCCTCCACAAAAGAATTCTCAGGTGAATTTTTCACACCCTTTTATTCATCCATCCCCTCCCCCTTTAAAGCTCTTTTTTCTCCCCTACTCAAAACTTTATATCCTAGACTAGAAGCGGTTGGTTGAAATCTGTTAGAAGGTGGAGGGATAGATGAGCGCTCCTTTAGTCCTAGATTCTATAAAACTGTCCTTACCTGCTGTGGGAAACAGGTGCGGACTGAGTGCTCTGTGTAACCAAAAGATGGCCCTTCAAAGACAGCTGTTGGGAGCTTCAGAACTTCCTTCAGAAACTGGTCAAACTTGCTAAATATCATTAAGCCATTGGAATCTGACATCTGGGAGAAAACATCTATGAGAACAAAACCAAATAATGTCAAACTATAAGGAAATATCAGTTTTTAAATAAATGGCTCTGTGTCATTTGTACACCACTCAAAAAGTACCATTAAAAAGTATCAAAAAATTATTATGATTTTTAGTTAATGTTAAAACTATTCTCATTCTTATTAACACTATGTGGTTACTTTGCTGACAAGGCCCCTCTATCCCACTCACTTAATATTCTACCCTAAACATCAAATCACATAACCAGCATATGTGTCTACTATCAGCTCTTTTTGAGTATATATAACTAGATATTATATAACTTTTATTTATTTATACCTCACTTGGTTCCAAGAAGAATGTGTAACACGATACCTTTTATCCCTTAGTATCTGTATATGTATTTATATAAGACATATGAATGTTTGAGTATATGCCTGTATTCGCATATTGGTGATAGGGTATGAAAGAAACTGTACATTTGTATTCATATACTGATGATGTAATGTATACCTGTGAAAAAAATAAATTTGAAGAAAACATAGTGCATGTTTGACTCTACACTCAGATGTCCTCTCTGAGAGAACATCGTAAATCTAGCAAACCACTAGGATGTCCCTTCTCAGGGGACATAAAGAGATTGCTGGTGATTATACAGGACAAACTTATGCCAGTGCAAATTTTTCAAAAATGTATGTTTCCTTGAAGTTTTCCATTAAAAAAAATCAATGAAAAACCCATGTCCTATTTGAAATTTGTCAAGCTTCTGATCGACCAGTTGAGAAGTGGTTTTTAAGAATCAGAAGTACACTCACATCATCTTCATACAATAGACTGGACAATACATTCAATATTATTATTGTGGGAGAAAGAAATGAGACTGCATTGTGTGCTCGAATAGGAAAACACCAGGTGGAAGACATCAAACAAATTACTATTACACAACATGTATCAATGAACCTGCAATGCATGTCAGTGACTGTTTCATATGTTACCATGTTAGAAAAATATAAAAAATAAAATTTATATTTTTTTGTCATAAAAAAGCTTCTCGTCCAAAATTACATTATAAGCCAAATATCATTACAATAAAATAACTGGTTCCAACACTATACTACCTTTTTATTTTTTTGTGTTAGAGTCTCACTCCTTCACCCAGGCTGGAGTGCAGTGGCACGCACACTCACAGCCACCCCAGCGTCGACCTGCAGGGCTCTGGCAATCCTTCCGCCTCAGCCTTCTGAGTAGCCAGAACCACAGATGCGCGCTACAACACCCAGCTATTTTTTATTTTATTGTAGAGACGAGGTCTCACCAAGTTGCCCAGGTTGGTCTCGAACCCACGGGTTCAGGTAATCCATTCACCTCGGCCTCCCAAAGTGCTGGGATTACAGGCTGAGCCACCAAGCCTGGCCCACTATACTATTTAACACAAAGTGATTCGTTTTTCACTATGTCATTAAAAAGTGTGGTTGAGTTGCTGGTAGGTGATCCATGAGATGACTCCAAGTACACAGGGTTAAAATATTCTATCTAGTGAGTTCCAAAGTTAAATAAAAAGAACCCATCCAAACTCTTCTATTCCCAAGAAACTTTGATACTATAAGACCCTATTTTTACATTAAGTCAGGCCACGCAGATGGGAAAGAAGTTTCCAGTAATACTACTACTACTACTTTATCATCTTACAGAGAGTTTCTGTCTCCAGTTATTCCTTTCTTCTTACACATAGTTGATGAGAAAAAGAAAAATAACCTGAAGCTCAAAACAACTTGACAAAGAAATTTGACCTAAGGGCAGATTGCTGTGCTTTCTTACAAACTAGTAAGTTAAATATGCACAGAAAAATCATGTCCTAAGGACTTTTCAAACATAGCATTTTGTAAATTCATACTTATATATTCAGAGTAAACAGGTATATTAGAGAGCTATATCTATATACTAGGTATATGTAATATATGTATTACTTTTTAGGTTCAATTTGGGGGATTTATTCTGAAGCACTGAGTGAAAAAAATAATTTTTAATACATAAATCAAAGAATGATAAAATGTTAGGTTATCAACTCCCCAGGACAATATTTAAGGCGGCAGAAAACAGGAAATTATAAGGGAATGAAAATCTTCAGTATACCCTCTCACTCATATAGAAGTGAAAATGCAATAAGAAACTAAAAGAATCATGGCTCTAGTAGGAAGTAAAATCAATTAATTAGCAAATATAGATTAAGTTCCTATTATGTGGTCCAAGGGCAAAGCACTTTGTTAGGTGTTTTGAAACACAACAAAGTATGATACATGACCCTTATCCACCAAACAACTTTTAATATAGCTGGAAAAATAAGATACATATGAAGCAAAGAAGAATTAAGATCTAAAGTGACTTACATACAACAGAAAGAACAGAGGCAAAAAGACATTTGTTAAGCCCCTGTGCCAGGCACCAATGATAGGTAACCATGCTGAGTCTGCCAGTAGCCACAGTATCTTTTTCTTCCTTAAGAACAGAACACTAATTTTACTTTGTGCAGCAATGTACCCAGCTAACAGACTACACTTCCTACCCTCCTTTTAGCAAGCTGTGGTCATGTGACTAAACTCTGGCCAATGAGATTGTAAGCAGGAGGATTGTAGACGCTTCCAGGAAGGTTAAAAGATACTGAGTTGAAAAGCAGACCATTTTTTCATTATTCTCTTTGTCCTCTTGCCATCTGGAGTGCAGCTGTGACAACAGCTCAAACTCCAATAGCCACCTTGCACTGTGTGGTAATCCCAAATTTGATAGAAATCACATACTAGAATTATTTAAAAAAAAAAAAAAAATGCTTGAGTCACAGATGAACATGAAGCAACCATACCAGCCCTGGACCACCTACCTCTGGACTTCTTTTATGTAAGAGAAAAATCAAATTGAACTTTAAGACACTATTATTCTGGGGTTTTGCTTTCATGCAACAAATCCCAATACTAAGTGCTACACTTTACCAAACATTACCTCATTTTACTCTCATAAAAAGATGTGTGTGTGTGTACATGCGTGCACACCTATGCACACATATAATCATTTAAATTTTAACTATAAGGAAGTTGCAGTTTAGAAAGGTTAACTTGCTTAACGTCAAAAAGTAAGTGGCCAAATCAAGTTTTAAATCCACACCTATTTGACTCCAAAATAAATTCCATTACACCATACTCTTTGCAAAATATAATTTAGAATAGATATAAAAACACAGGCAGGAATTACCAAGAAAGTTCTAAAAGAAAGGGATTTTAGAAGCTAGACTTGAACGATAGGATTTGGAATAGTGAGGTAAAAACAGGTTGCAGGTAGAGACTGGGAGACACTAAAGAAGAGCAAGATAAAAGTCTCTTTGACCGGAAGGTGTAGAGCCTGTCTGTTATGGCGATAAGCAGGAAACAGGGCATTCAAGGGCACATTCTATGGCAGACAATTTATATTGAGAATTAAAGGAAAATAAAGACTTAATAAGGGCATTTCTGTATGAAAAAAAAAACTTCATAAGAGGAAAGCGATTTGAATTTGGTTTAAAAACATTTAAGTAGAAATCTAATTTTCAGAAAGCTCGGTTTCAAGAAGATTACACTGTTAATGACTGGCACAATTAATAAAAAAAAGAGTGGAATTGGAGACATCTACTAAGAAACCTTGTAAACAATGCACAAAGGAGGTAGGAAGAGTCTTGATTACAGTAGGGACAGTGTGCAGGGAGGAAAAGGCCAAGACATTTCAATGCAAGGAACTGCAGTTGATGGCAAACTGGATTAGAGAATAAAGGGATTTTAAAAGTTAGGGTTAGTCCAAATTTCCATCTTGGGAAAATGCTGACAACCCTGATTTACATAAACAAACCAAAGATAAAGATTTTAGACTGAGCTTTGAACATAACTATATTTGAACTAATCAACAAATTTTCAAGTGGAATCATCCTGCAGACAGAAACAGAGCATTGGACCACAACTTAGACTGCGGATAGGGAATCTTGAAAATTTTACCGATGATATGAATAACTGGTGTTCTTTAAAGGAGGGAAGTACATAAGTGATTTAATTTTTAAGTTAGGCCAGTACAGTGGCTCACACCTATAATCCAAGCACTTTGGGAGGCAGAGGTAGGAGGATTGCTGGAGCCCAGGAGTTCGAGATCAGCTTAGGCAATATAGAAAAACCTCGTCTCAACAAATAATCAAAAAATTAGCTGGGGTGGCGGTGGGTGCCTGCAATTCCAGCTACTCAAAAGGCTGAGGCAGAAAGACCAGCTAAGCCCTGGAGGCCCTGGAAGTTGAGGATGTGATAAGCTGTGATCATGCCACTGTACTTCAGCCTGGGTGACAGAGTGAAATCTCAACTCAAAAAAAAAAGTTAAGTTAGTAGGCTAAAGTTCTTATAATAAAGAAAATAATCATGCATTAAATCTCAGTGAAAACAAAGGGTCAATATGGGAGGTGGCAGACATTGCAAGGTGCCTATTCAATATCTATTTACTTTCTTACTTTCTCACTAAATCCTGACTGTGTGCCTGCTTAAAAAGTGACTTCCCACTCTTCTTTGCACATTGTAACTCTGGAGGGGATTTCTGGAAAATCTTTTGCTTTCCTAACAGAAGCACCTTCGTTCCTGGAATGAGTGCATGAGGCCTGGGACAGAACAGTCATCTTATGATCCTAAAAAAGAAACCTATATGGCAGAACAGAAAGACAGGAAGAACTGGAGTCTTTGATTACATGCAAAAGTCATGATACCAACTTTGAACTTACCAGTCTTCGGACTTATTTTTACATAACAATAATAAATCCCTAGCTGGGCTCAGTGGCTCAGCCAGTAATCCCACGCCTTGGGAGGCTGAGGCGAGTGAATTGCCTGAGCCCGCGTGTTCGAGACCTGCCTGGGCAACTTGGTGAGACCTCATCTCTACAATAAATCAAAAAATTAGCCGGGTGTGGTAGCGTGCGCCTGTAGGTCCAGCTACTTGGAAGGCTGAGGCGGAAGGATCGCCGGAGCCCCAGCA